CCCACCCCCCTGCCAGTGTTCAAGGCCAGGTTGGACACAGGGGCTTGGAGCAACGTGCTCTAGTGAAAGGTGTCCCTGCCCGTGGCAGGGGTTGGAGCTGGATGATCTTAAGGTCCCTTCAACCCAAACCATTCTAGATTATTAAGAACCACAGACTTACACAGACCAAAGCTGCAGATGAAACAGATGATCCTGTGGTTGTTATTGTCAGTAACTGCACACCAAAGCTCTCGCAGAGCCTCTTTGCACATTATATTAAAGGCAGAAATGTTTGTCCCTCTCCCAGATGACACTCCTGTGGCCACAGCCAAGAACATGCCAGGGGACAGTGCAGACCTGTTTGGGGATGGTGGGACAGAAGATGGGAGTGCTGCTAACGGCCGGCTTTGGAGGACTGTCATCATTGGGGAGCAGGAGCACCGCATCGACCTCCAGATGATCAAACCCTACATGCGAGTGGTGACACACGGAGGTGAGGAGCAGGGCAGCCTGCTCCTGCCTTGCTGGGTTTCCTTCAGTCCATCTTTGTCGAGTTGGAGGGGATGCTGTGACTGATTGTTTTGACTGTCCTTAGGGGGAAGTTGCTATTTGTTTTGTACTGCTGTGTGGCAGAGAAGCACAAAGCGCCCAGCTCGTGCTGAGAAACATGCAGCCACTGGAGCAATGCTTCAATAAACAAAAGCAGAGATAATGCTGACTCTGAGCAAGAGTGACTATATCGTGACCCTCAGCCCGGGTTAAGTACCTGCATCCCCAGTGACGAAGGGCCTGCAGGTACCTGACCCCTCTGTAGCTCAGCACCTGAGCTGCCTCCAGAGGCACAGCTAAAGGCCAGGACCTCCAGAGGGTGACCAATCCTGAAATCCAAGCAAAGCCCAGCCACAATCCAGGGCAAAGCTCTCAGCTCTGTGCTGTGATGCACACAAATTCCTTCCCCAAACGCCACATGCATGTTACAGCCAAAACCAGGAGCAGAGGCAATTCTAACCGTGTGAGAGGTCTGTAAGAGGGACAAACACTTACCTGGAGCTCAACAGAAGCACAAAAACCAGCCCAGGCTCAAATTTAACAGTGCATCTTCCCTTCAGCTCTCACATCTCCCCCTGGAAAATGTCACTGATGCTGCCTGTGTCTTTCTTTCACAGGATACTATGGAGAAGGTCTCAATGCCATCATTGTCTTTGCTGCCTGCTATCTGCCAGACAGTAACCTGGCTGATTACCACTACATCATGGAGAATCTCTTCCTGTAAGTGGCTGGTCAAGGTCTGTGAGGGAAAAGGAGGGCAGGGGACGTTGCTAGGGCTCTGGGGAAGCAGTTTCCATGTATTCAGTGCATCCCAAACCTCAGATGGAAATAGTTTGAATCCAGGCCAAAGATACCCAGCGTGCAGCTGCAGACTGGGGCGAGCATCACTGGGTGAGACACTGTCCACAGAGTTCACATCCAAGTCCAGTGAGTCAAAGCATTCAACCATTCAGTGTTAATTATGCCAGTGATGGACTCACAACCAGGGCAGAGCATATGTACGCAATGCTGAAGAGCTTGTAGATGCTCTTGCTAGGCAGAAGAACAGTGCAGGGATGTCCATCAGTGCATGCACTATGTGAACAGTGATCCCAGCGAAACACCCCTGCAGGGCATAATGAAGTAATAATCCTACAGTGGTACCAGATTCCTGCTCTTTTCCAAGGTCTAGGAAGAAAGGGTCTAGAGGGCTTTTGGGGTGGCACACAGGTACCTGAGGAAGCCTCAGGGACCTTTTTGAGTCTCATATTCCTGTTGCTTTCAATCACCACCCAACAGATACGTGATCAGTAGCCTGGAGCTGCTGGTGGCTGAGGACTATATGATTGTGTACCTGAATGGAGCAACGCCCCGCAGGAGGATGCCAGGCCTGGGCTGGCTGAAGAAATGCTACCAGATGATAGACAGAAGGTGAGAATCCCATTGGTGTTGCCTCTTCATTCTTCCCAGTCCTCTTCCCACATCTCTTCCACTGCTTTCTCACAGCCTTCCCAGCCAGTCTGCCTTCCTCACTCTGCAGATGCTGCAATTCCATTCTCTGTTACAGCTTTCTGGCTTACTGAAGGCTCTCTTCAACACCCTCTTTGCCTCACAAGCACCTTCACAGAGATCAGGCTAATACAGCACCTGAGCAAAGCAGTACTCCTGCAGCCTGACAGCTCTGAGCTTAAATAGGGTTCCTAAGGCCATGGGCAGGGCTTTTGTCTGGAGTCACCCACCTGAGGCTGCTTAGCATCCTGGCAATAGTTAGTGCCCTGACAGAGTTTAAGTAAAGGTACTTTGAATCTGAGTTCTGTCCCATGGCTCTTCCACAGGCTGCGTAAAAACCTCAAAGCATTGATAATCGTGCATCCCTCGTGGTTCATCCGGACAGTGCTGGCGATATCCAGACCCTTCATCAGGTAACTATGACGTGGTCCCACTACATAGAACATGTTCCCAAACTTGGCTGGGTTTGGAGTGAAAGTTTAATCTCACAAATCAGATCTTAAGCTCACCTTTAACTAGTAGCAACCAAGGTGACACCATTTGTCTCTTGTCCTACATCTCCCTGATGCTTCCAAGGCCAACTCTAGAGGCTGTTTTAGGAGACACTGTGGTGGTCTGGATCCAGATCAAAGTTTGTCCCAGTGGGTAAGGCATAAAGATTTCCTGGGGAGAGCCGGAAGGGTGGGCCTTTTTTCCTCCTATGGATATTGAGGAGCAAGGGTCAAAGCAAAATGAGGTACCTGTGTGGTACCTCAGTACCAAAGTGTGGCACCTCACCACAATTTGTAGTCATTGGCATATCAGTACTGGGAGGAGATGGGTACATTCAGACTATAGAGGATACAGAGATGCAGAGCTCCCCGTTCCCGTTGGGAAACTTCCTATGGAGAGAACATCAAAACAAGAGCGGAAGCACAGACTCTTTCTTTCTTTGCCAGTGTGAAGTTTATCAACAAGATCCAGTATGTTCACAGCCTGGAGGAACTGGAGCAACTCATCCCAATGGAGCATGTGCAGATCCCAGATTGCGTCTTACAGTGAGTGTCAGAAGGACCCTGGGGCACATGTGGCTCTGAGGAGGAGCAGGACAAAAATCCTGTGTAGCAGGATATCATTGAATCAAACTCCATGTACTGGAACCTTATCCCACTCCAATCCCAGTGCCAAGCAAGAGCCTGCACAATGTGCTGGGTTGCAGTTTCTGTCACCTTCAGAGCAACCATTGCATTTTACTTAAGGTGAACAATCCTGACCGGTAACATCTAAAGACTGTTTCCTGTTTGTTGCAGATATGAAGAAGAGAGGATCAAGGCCAGAAAAGAAAGGTAAAATTAATGCTGGGGGAAGGGGGAAGGGGCTTGGACTCATTTCTTAGGATGTTGTTGCATTCCCTCATCATTATTTGTGCTATAACCAGTGAATTCTGTGTTCCTCCTACCCTGATATCCCACACAGCCTACACTTACTTTCTACTGATTTACTCAAAGTAAGCAAAAGCTGCAGGAGGAAGAAGCAGCTTGATTCAAAGGTTATTTATCCATAGATGTGTTCATCTTAACCCCAGGAGTGTGCTTGCTCTGAGCATGCACTGCAGCATCAGCAGAAATCCCTCTATATGAAATGGCACATTTTCCCCATATGACCCTGCAAACTGACCTTAAAGTGAGAGCTGGTGCTCATTTTAAAAGCTACTTCATTCTGCTGAAGTGGCTTAAAGAGGGACATTAGTTGACAGTTTGTTTTTGTTTCATTTTCTAGACCTGTTCTGTCACCAGTGATTTTGGTTAGAAGTGCTGGCCATGAACAGTGATAGCAGTTGGCTCCGTTAAAAGCTAAAGGCAATCATGGGCAGAGGAAAGACCAGCTGGGTCAGCACAAGAGTGATCACAGAGTCACAGACTGGTTTGGGTTGGAAGGGACCTTAAAACTCATCCAGTTCCAACCCCCTGCCACGGGCAGGGACACCTTCCACTAAACAAGTTTGCTCAGTTATAGTGATGTGCTCTAATAACACCTCCTCGAGCTGGTGAACAAACTGGGAAGTGCCCGTGTGGGAGCATGAGGTGTCCCTGCCTATGGCAGGGGGGTTGGAATTAGATGATCCTAAGGTCCTTTCAAACCCAAACCAGTCTGATTCTATGATTTGGTTCATTAGCTGTTTGAAAGCGAGTCGTCCTACCCAAATCAGCCAGCTCCCTCCCCCTAGAGCCACAGAGGCATCCTGAGAGCATGAGGATTGCCAGGGCTGTATGTCACAGGGACAAGAAACTCACAGTCCTTTCTGACCAGAGCCCTAACTGCTGTCTGAGGGCCAGCTATTGCCCTAGAAAGGCCCTGGATAACTCTATCATAGTCCTCGCCTCTAGATGATAGATTTCAAAAGTGATTTGTGTTTACAGGGCAGAAGAGAAACAAGACATGGCTGAGAAGGAAAGGTAATTACTCTTTTTTATTTATCCTTTACTTACAAAACCAGTTTTTAGTGACAAGAGTGGCCCTACTGCTTGGTGGCCCCCTTGGGGAGGCAGGTCTGACCTCTCAGGAGATGTCTGGAGCCAACAAGACATTTCTAAAGTGTCTGGGACCTGAGAAAGTCTCCCTCTCCCTCACAGCTCCCTGTGCCATCACTTTTGTGGTGTTACTGACCTTCACCTGTGCCAACAGATTCCTGACGCTGCCTTTTACCTCTCCTAGTGAACCCATTTGGTCATGGAGCAGAGCCAGAGGCGCCGGGGACGTTCTCCTGACATTCAGTCATAGCATTTGCAGGATGGTGCAATGCAGAGGGCCAAGAACTGCTGTCAGGCACATCTTGGCTATCTGTAAAAGCAAGATATGAGGCTGTAACATTAGATGGGAAGGAAAATTCTAGGGAGGCTTGGAAGACAGTGTCAAAATCCTAGGCCAAGATAATTTGGCCTGGTTTTGGCTCTGCTTCAGAGTGATATAGTGTCTCTTTTTTTATTCTATCTAACTAGCTCCTGAGGGGGAACAGTGTATATTTCTACTGTTCTCTTCCCAGAGAAAAAAGAGCTTTGCTAAAAATGGCCATAGTCCATTGGATGAGCCTGAATTGTTCTGAGAAACAAATGGGACCTTGGGGCAAAAAGACAGGGTGATTAGTGTGCGGTGGAGATTCACTTCTTGTCTTGCTGGTTCTCTTCCAAGCAGGCCTGTGCCCCCAGCAGAAGATCAGGAAACCAGGTTTGATTTGTACCTTTCTCTCTTGTTTGGCTGCATGTGACAGATTTCATTGCATTTGTAATCCACTAACAAATGGGAAAGTCAGGACGGGGCCTCTTCACCCTGGTGCTGCTCACTCAGCACAGAAGAGGCATCACCCACTTTGTGCAGGGAGGTGCAAAACCCAGAAGCTGTTGCCACCTTCACCCTCCCGTGGCTGCAACCACAACCGCTGTGGCTCGTCCCAAAGCACAGGCCGATCCCATCTGCAGCTGCAGGAAAAACACTGCCCCTCAATAAATTACCTGGGGTAGGGTGTGCACATGGGTATTTACTGCAGAGCTGCCTTCCTCTTCCTGGCAAGAACGTTTCCATGGTCCTATGCACTCAGGAAACATCCTTAGAGAAGAAGGAAGCCCATTACAGCTATAAATAACATTCTCTTTTCCCCCGATATGCTTTTGTAGAGGATTACACCCAAACATACTCGTATTTTTGGTTTTTACATAGTGGGAATAACAACATTTTTACTACAATTTGCTTTCTAAAAATAACTCTGTCTTTCTGTTCCTTCCCAGTATGTCATGAATCAAAGCAGAGTGGAATGAATGGAGCAGAAGAATGACGCAGCCTGGCAGTCACCCACGAAAATGACCTTTTGGTGTAAGACCTTGTCGCCATCTTATTCCCAGTTCTGTAGCCCATGGAGCCTGCCTCCCTTGTCTCCAAGATGCAAAGTCCATTAAACTTTTTGGAAACATTTTACTTTGAAAAAAAAAGAGAAAAAAACAAAGCCACAAAACCAAGCAAGCCAAGAATAGCACTTTTCAGGACAGGTTCCAGTGTGTTTCAGTAATGGTCTGTGGAGAGCTGTTAAGTAGTGCAAATAGATACCATGTTTCCTCTTGGTAAGTTAAGAGCATCCTGTAGTCCAGTAGTTGCCAGCCCAGAAAGAGATATATTTTTTGTTTAGATTATAAACCCTCCCCCTAACTTGCTGCTGGCCAGCACTGAGACATTCTGCTTCAAACTGCACACCCCATTCCCTCCATAGAGACGTGGCAGCCAGGGACTAGTGAACATGGACTGAGAAGAGTGCATTTCCCTCCTTGCTACAGCCAATGTGTGTTTCTTCCTGAAAATACCAAGTGCCCACCGGTTGAGACAGCTCTTCCAGCCTTGACCAGTTAATTCATTGCCAGTTCCTCTTCTTAACTCACACGGAATCATTCCTAGCAGCAAATGCCATGGTCTTTTCCTGGTTTGCTCTGTCTCAGTTTGTAAGGCACTCTGGTAACTCTGAGAGTTCCATATGGTGTGGCAGCCTCCACAGAACCTTCTCATGAGCATCTTCTATCAGTGCACACACACCAAAAAGGTCTGGTTTTAAGAAGGAGCCTTATGGACAGGGAAGTTTTCCACACCTTGCCCTTATATTGATCTCATGACACTGGACAATCATTCACTATTAATACCTCCTATTGCAGAGACAAGCTGCTAAATGTTTGAAATTACCCTCCCTGGGTAATGAGGGGCCTCATCTACAAACATACCTACCCAAGGGGAGGATGCTGCAGGTGTGAGGCAGGACTCTGCCTCTGGGTTCAGCTCCTCAGCAGCCAAGAGATGCAGACATGACACCGAGACTCCTGAAACCTGTATTTTGGACTCATGAGGATTCTGTGAGCAAAGGAGGGAAGAAAATTTAAGAAATTATTTGGCTAAAATCATTTGGAAAGTCCTGATTTCACCCAAGTCTTTTACTGAGTCTCCAGTCATCAGTTAAAGCCCCTTGTGGGTAAAGAATTACCTGAATATTTCCCCACTTAAGGAACAGTTCAAGCCTGGCAACCTCAACCCGTGGCTATTTGAAATCACCACCACTTCACTCTGCTCTCAACTCCCCTGGAGGACAATTCCAGCAAAGCAAGATTTTCCTCAAGATAGGGCTGTCTCCTCTGCATATATAAAGCTTCTTTTTTCCTTTCAGTGAGTAAAACTGCTACAGATGAGATCTCTGTTTCCCAACTGCTACAAAGGAGCACCAAAGCTGCTTTCTAACTTACTTCTCTTTTGATATGTGTTTTTCTCATGCACTTCAGTCACAGATGTATTTGCTGAACAGACCTTTGCATGAAAAACAGAGCACTGCGCCCCCAGCATTAACCTGAGAAACTGAAGGTAGTAAAAACTCCATATTCTGTCTCACTGGCATGTTACTAATAAGCACCAAGCAAGCACCAATCTCCACAGCTTTCTGGAAACTTCATCCTGAGCCAGTGAATTCTGTGCTACAAGGGAAAAACAGCCCTTCAGGGTTTTTGGAGTGTGGGTTTCATGCCAATGACACCTCCCCACAGAAGGAGTTCTAGCCAGAGCTCTCCACGCAGGCAGCAGACATCTGTTCCAAGGTAGAAGCAGCAGTCAGGGAGTACCAAACATGAGCGTGTTCAGCCACCCTGCAAAGCTGGGTGTTCTTTTTCACACATGGGCTGTCAGATGGACTAAAGGAACCCGCTGAAATTAAGAAAGGACTCTCCCAGTGAAATTAATTTTAGCTCAGACTAGTAACAATCACAAATCTTGTAGTGTAGGAGCACAGGAATTCACCATCTCCCCCTGGTAACACTTCAACTTAGATTGTCCTTATTTCTTTTGAGACCATTTTTATGCAGTTAGATAAGAAATCATCTGCTTTCCACAGAAGAATGCAATGCAGTTGGACACTGAAAGGGAACTTTACAATTCTGTAACGAACAAAACCAATAGATCATTTAATAATGTTTTCAAAGTACAATTCCAGAAACCTTTTATGCATCTGTAATTACTAAACAGGAAAAAAATGTTCCCAACATTATGGAAAATCCTGCTGTTATGGAACACATGGGTATGAAAGATAAGAAACCTTGATTATGTTTAGTCTTGAGGCCTGAAGAAACCAACTGCTCTATGCCCAGCAGTCAGCATGCCAGAGGAATCTGGGAGTTTGGTGTGGTTTTGTTTTGGTTTTTCCCAAAGAAAAGACCTTGTGTCTACATTTTCAGGAAAAAAAAACAACTACAGAATGAGCAGACCCACAGGTGAAAACTTCATGTTTTTTCAAGCAATTCCATCAGGGCAAGGTTAAGAATTCAACCGGGAAAAGGGCAGACACCAACTTCATTTCCAGGCACGAAGGAGGTTGGTTGTTGGAACACAAGAGTCAGTTTGGAAGTTCTTTGAAACCATTTTTCAGAAGTGCACTTTCTGACAGAGCACTCTAAGTAGTATGCACTATATTTTAATTCTTAATACAATGATATGAGTGTGTAGATGTTATGTTCATGACTGGATGGGTGCCTATCTTGCTTTTCAACATAGAAAAGAACCTGCAGCCCAAAATGGATAAACTCTAGCTAAATGTAAAAAGTGCATTTTTATAGCAGCAACAACAAAAAAGGATCATTAACTTCTTTCAGTGCTTTTAGATGCTACTGGAAACCAAAGTAGCTACAAATTCTTTGACAGAAACACAGAAACAAGCAAATTGGCAGAGTTCTTTTACCAACTGTGGAGCAACAAATCTAAGTTTGGTGTTGATTGACCTGCACAGGCTTCAAGCAAGCTCAGATCTGGGTGCTGTAACAAACACACCACCAAATCACTGCATTCATCTTCAGAAGATCATCATAACCTCAGATCCACCTGTGTGAGACCACCAGCTGCTCAGGGGCAGCGGATCAAGATTTCGCAGCCTGCAAACAGGAGATGAGATGTAATTGTACTGGGGGGGACTTGTCAGCTGGGGGCTCGAGCTGGGTGACAGGACTTACCTTGCACAGAAGCTGAGCTGTGACAATAGGACAAACAGAGATCTGAGGTGACTGAAGCCATTTTACAAGTCTCTTTGCCAGTTCCTCAGGGAGCTGCTCTCAAAGCCTATCTGCAGAGGGTTTTACCAGCCAAGTTCTATGCTTCCACTGGAGATGCAGTTGAGAATTGTGCTGTACCAGCAAAAAAATACAAAATCTTGCTAGTAAAAGTACATTGACATTAGAACTTTCGCCAGAATATATTCATCTGGTTAAAAACTAATATGAAATAAACTCCATCCTTGTAGCAACGCTGCTGAACTGGTCAGTGTTCCCAGGGTACAGCAGGCCTTGCTCCTGCCTCAAAAAAACATCTCTGCAGGATCAATACTTTGATTTATGAGTGCACTGTATCCTACCAAACA